GGGAGTCCCACACTCTCTCCTTCTCCCTCCCACTTTCTTTTTGTGCTTTCTGCAACCCAGTTCTTGTTTAATTGCTGTTAATTGTTGTAGACACCGTCTGTGGCTGTATAGTCCTGATTTACCCAGGCTTTGTGGGATATAGGTTCTCACTGCAGTGTATGTATAGGACTGCTCAGGAGCGGAGGCAGTTAATGCTGATGTGGACTTGGCAGAGGATTTTCAGTGGCTCATCGATGCCAGCAGCCTTTTGCTAATGTTCTTCATTGGGTCTGACTGCAAATATTTCATATGTAGTTGGATGAAGTTCACTGTCCTGCAGTAGAAAGGCAGACCTGATGATCTAATGGTCCCCCCGGCCTTCTGCGAGGATGCTGTAAATGACCTGAATGGAGTCAGCATATCTGGCAGCACAGAGTGCTGCATGAAGTTGAAAGATGATGCATAGATTGCTGTTAAAATAAATGGTGAAAAAAATGGTTCTACTGAACGCTTCAGAAAGAGTATGTGATCATCGCTGAGACTGTGCACATGCTGAAACTATGCAGAGCCATCATCTTACTACTGTTTTCTTCTTTTCCTTCCCCCTAGTGCTTGTTACAGTTGCTTGGCTCTGGTTTCAGAGAACACTGCAAGATCTTGCAGGCTTGTATCACCCAGGGTACCACTTTGCACAGCGGGGGCCTGATCCTGACGGTGGCCTCTGGCTGCTGCAGCAAAGCAGATGATGAAGGGCTGGCTTGCTGCAGCTCCTTTGCCCAAGTTGCAGGTTCTGCTGGTGCCATGGCCCAGTCAGGGCTGTGAATGGTACTTCTGGATGTAGGGAGGCTTCATGGCACTGGCTTCAGCTCTGTGAGGGGTGTCAGGGAGATGCCTGTCCCAGAAAAGGAGCAGGCCAGTGCGTAGTACCTGACACCTCCTGTGCACCAAGCTCTCACAACGTGCCTGGGACTACACCAGGGCACGGATGGTGCATGCTAGCTGTGGAGTGAGGAGCAAGCTTGGTTTGCAGTTGCTTACTGCTGCCTGTGCTGTTTGGAGACCTCAGGGCATACCTGGCACTTGAGGCAGGGGCTGAGATGTGGATCCAGTGCCTTACCCTGCATTTTGGCAGAAAGGCAAACCCAAAGGCCCACATCTGCACTAGTGAGCTATGCCTTAGCGCTTTCTCGGGCACTGTGGCTATTCAGCTGTCTGAGTTATTCAACCCCCTTTCTCTCCAAAAAGGGGAAACTGACTATTGGAAATGGTGTCTGTCTGCTCCGGTCTGAGCTGGGCTGGGAACTATTTTGGAAGGTGCTAAGTGGCCCATGAGCCTTCTAGCAGTCCAGTGTTACAGGCAATCAAGTCCCAGTGCCTGGGAACGTCCCCAGCAATGTTTCATTTCTGGCCCTTGGGATGGTAAATACGTTAATTAACCTATTCCACTGGTAAGGAGCCAGAGATAGGGAAGACAGATGGTTTGCCCAAGGCTTGTTTTGGCATCAGTGGCAGGGCTGGGAATAGGGCATCCCTATGCAGCATGACCTAGTGTGAGTGTTCAATGGGACTTCAGCTTGGGAGACCTGCGTGAGGACATGTCTTCTGTTCTGCTCTGCCCTGGGACTGCGTTGAGCTTCTTTCCACCTGGGAGACCTGCTGACCCCTGCACATGCCCACCCATCTTCTGGTCCCTCTGCACCCCAGGATGAGGGCGAGACTCCTGCTCCCTTCTCCCTGCTGCCGTGCTTCCAGTTTCAAGGGGTGGGTAAGCAGGAGGCAGCCTGGCTGCTCAGCCTTGTGCGGCAGCCGGGTGCCTCAAAGGTATGAGCGTGGCTTTGTCTCACGTCATTGTTAAGTCTGCCAAGGGCTTGGTGCATCATGGCACCCAGCAGGTCCCCTTGCTGGGCAGCTCTGCCTGCTGCCTTGGAAGCCCCTGTCCCCTGTGCGATGGGGGGTGACTGGGGCTGCTCAGTGTGTACAGGTAGCTTCCCAGCAGCCACCCCTGGGACAGTAACACCAGACCTGGAGGGACCCTGCCACTTGTTTTGTTCTCCAGAAGCAGGACTGGGTGGAGAGGCCCAGGACTGGATGTGCCCCTCAGGTGGCTCATGAACTGCATCTTTGCCCAAAGTGATGGTGATGGCACGTGCAGCAGGATGAACGCAGCTGGGGGCCACCACTCTCCCAAGCACAGTCCCTCCAGGCTGTAAACATGCCATGCTCCTTAAACCTCCCAGGATTCATTCTAAATTCTTTGTAAGGCATTGAAAATCGCATGGCGTTCAAGCCATGCAAATGTCAACTAAAGGCTTTTAAGTTGAACCAGACATGCTCAGGACTGGGTCCCATGTGGCAAAGCCCCCATAGCTGTTTTGCCACTGCTGATGCCCTTGCTCACCTGATGCCCCATGCTATGTGAGGTCCTGCTCACTGGGCTTTCATTGGGAAATAGCTGTGGTCCTTCTCTGCCCTCCAGTACTACCTACATGTCGCTCCTCCTAAGTGCTCACTGCCAGTCCTGGAGGTCCTCCCTGCCTCCATCTCTGCCCACCCGCTCATCCAGGAGATTATGGAAGGAAGGGACATTCCTGTCCACTCTCTGCTCCTGCCTCCGAGGACATCCCTGCCAGGTTGCTCTCCTCTGCGCATGCTGGGCTGTCCTCCCTTGAGGAGCATCGCCCTGGTGCTAGCATCTCCCTTCACCTGGGGTTGGCAGCTCACGTCTGGAGTTGGCAGTGACACAGAGTGACTCTGTTAATGAGAGGTTTGTGCCGAACCCAACAGGGGTTTCATGCTTTCAGGAGTGATCTTGTCTGCTCAGGCTGGGGCCCCTGTCTGTTTTAGTCTCATACCTTTCTTCCTACAACCTCTGGCTCGCTGTTGGCATTGAGAGCAGCTAGCAGCATGCTCCCTCCAGCATGTGTGTGAGAGATGTAGATAAAACTTGAACTTTAATCCCACGAAGAACTGATAGTGTGATTCAAGGCCAAAACAGCTTCTCTGGAGAAGGTAGTTATTTTGCCTACAAGAAACAGGCTCTGATTAATGTCAGTAAGTTGAGGTGGGAAGGGGGAAGCGCTTTGCTCTTTGAACAGACTGGCTGAGTATGACTTGCAAGGTGTGTTTCAGCCATGCCAAGGGGAGAATGGGAGCTGTGACAGTCTAAGCGAAGATGCTTATGCTGCTGCTTGGAGTGGAGTCCCTCAGCAGACCATAATTACCTAAAGACCTGCTCCAGCTCAGTGGTTTTCTCTCTTTACCGATCTGGACATCTTTTAAAAGTCTAAGGCCTTCCATGGGCTCTTATGCAGTAAGTAAAGGAAAGTTGGCTTTCCTTGGGTACTTTCTGGGGATGTCTTAAACAACCACAGATCTCTTTGAGTTGACAGAGAAAAGCTGGAAATCAGTGCTCTAGCCCAGCCAGAGCAGATGTGAGTGGATGCAAGAATTACTTTGGCTTGTTCTGTTTGCAGGAAGTCACACCAAGGGAATTTAAGTGCTTTCTCCCTGTAAAAATCTACCCAGGTTAATAAAATGTTGATCCTGAAGGGCTGGATAACACTTTACAAATGACGTGGCTTCTCAGGCCACTTCCCCTTCCCACGTGGAGCGCTTGTATCTCTACAGGCAGCTTCATTCACGAACACCAGAACAATCCTTGGCATGCCTGCTGCCCACCGTCTTTGGCTCTCCTAAAACGTGAACCCCACAGCTTGAGCTCTGGCACTTCTGGAGCCTCATCTCATGCCATGTGGATGCAGGAGTCACGGGCATGCTGGTTCAGAGCAGGATCATCTTCTGACCCTGCTGTGTTCATGTGAAAGTCAATCCAGAAGACAAATGTGCATGTTTCCATGGTTCCTGTAAATTCTGTCAGCAGCTCCGACTGCCTTGTCCCGCATTAGAAATAAACCATGCTCCCCACTTCATTTCCAGAGGCTTTCCAGAGCTTTCAGGCTGCCTATTTCTAACTTTTTATCTTTGGGTGACTGTACTCTCTCATCTACCTAGACATGCAAAAGTTACATGTTGCTAAAACCTTCCCTCCATGATAAGTAAATATGCTTGGAGAGCAACCTGCAACTTGTTATTCCTTCTCATTATAGATGTGTAAATATGAGATATGACCAGAGGGAGTGGGATTAGCTGCCTGCTTGGGCATTGGCGGAGCACCTCTTGGAGGCACAGCACTGTCTCTGATAGCTGTATGTTGGCAGTGATCACTACCTGAAAACACATCATAAGGGAGAGATGGGGAGGACGTCGTTTATGCAAAGGCAGCCAAAAAGTTGTTGCAGCAAAGTGCTGGTATTAACCACCATGGGAATGATATGAGCATCCTGGAGTTAGTCTGGCACCGTGCATGTCATGCAGGCACAAATTCCATAGCACCGGAGAGTCCCCAGCCCCCGGGGTTGCTGCACCAGAGGCAGATAACAAATGCGGGACTGGGGTGCTTGCGAAGGGAGAGCAAGCCGGGAAGAGGCCAATGCGGCTGCTGGCGTGCCGTCCCTCCCGGGGTGGGGTTGAGCAATGAACAGCAACAGGCGGCAGCAGTTAGGCAGAGAATGAAGCGTTGTCTTCAGCCGAAGCAGCTCGGGACACTTGCGGAGGCGAGATGCTATGACCAAAGTTGGAGTCAGGCCTGATTTACACCCCAATACCATGAAGTGCCGTGAGATCTTTAATGATCGCAGGCTGCTGGCCTCCAATTGCTCTCAGGAGGAAAATGGTTCCTCTGAGCGCTGTGCCAGGAACCCAGCATAATGCCAGTTCAAAAGGGAGATACTCCCCGAGGGATCGCTCACACTGCAGCATTCACATAGTCCTTGGGGGTTTCTTTTCCAAGCACTTAAACAACTCAGCTCTTGTCCCATTGGTTTTGATCTCAGCTGCTGGTCCATCTGGAAGGAAATATCAGATGCTGCAGGAAATAATTTTACGGGTGACTCAGAGGTGCTGGCTGCAGAGAGACCTCAGCTTCCCTTCTCCTAACCATGCTGCTTTGTCTCTCTGCTTAGGCCAAATGTCTGCGGCAGACAGTGCTGCCCAGGATGGACCACGGCTCCCGGCACAAACCGCTGCATCAAACGTGAGTATGGCAGTCTCGGCTGGGGCAGGTCTCACGATGCACCCCTAAAAAGCGCTCAAGTACTGCTGTGACCCCGCACATCCCCTGCACTGTGCCAGGGCAGGAGATGGACCGTGGGGTCCCCAGAGGCAGCACTGCAGCCTCCCCATGGGGCTGCTAGGCTGTAGGTCAGCTCTCCCCACCGGCTGGCAAAGTCTGAACATGCTGAGTAGTTATGGCTTTACTTCATTATTGTTACTAGTGTCCATTTCGAGCAGGGTCTTGTTGGGGCAGGGCATTGCAACGGCACATTTATGGGCGAGTTTCAAGCCCTGGGCTCTCATTGTCCTGCTGAGAGCAAAAGGCAGGTCTGTGAAAGTCCCAGCAGGTGGGAACCAGCAGAGTGGGGCTGTGCTCACGTGGGCAAGCGTTGCTCAGGCGGAGGGGGAAATCAGGGCTGCAAATTATCTGAGTGCTGTTAAGGAAAGCAATTAATGGAGTTGGCACAGCGGCTGGGACGGGTGGTGCTGGAGCGTGGTGCGGCACGTGGGGTGTGTAGAATGGCAGGGGGGCTGCAGGGCGCTCCTGCAGTGCGGAAACTGCCTGGCCAGGGCCCTCCTGCCTGCACCCGGAGGGGTTAATAAGGGCTCTGCTCCTCCGGATGGCCCTGCCACAGCCCTGGGGGCTGAGGTCATTTTGGCCTCCCCTACACAGCGCTGCAAGGGAAGGGGTTTGGGCAGGCACCAGTGCGACGCACAGCAGAGGCAGCTGCACTGTCGTCTCCATCCCCAATAGCTCCGCAACCACAGCCCAGCCCCTGCCACGACCCCGGTCCCTAAACAACAGGGTTACACCACCCAGCCCACCCGTGGGCCAGGGGACTGCCTGCCCCATGCACCTGCCCAGTCCCTGGCAGGTGAGGCGCTGCCCGTAGTGCCCGGGCAGCTCGGAGGGCAGGGAGCACACAGGCCCTGGGCAGGCTTTCTGGACGGGAACGCCCTGCCCAGAATAGCAGAGAGCATCTGCCTTCACTCGAGTGGCAGCAGCTGCCCAGATGTTTAGCGGGGAAAGAGGCTCAGCTTTGTTTGCTGCGGGATCTCACGGCGCTTCGGCCGCGCTGGGATAATTGCATTAGTGATCGCTGTTCAGGAGCAAGGGGCCAAGGGCTGACTCACCTCCCTCCTCCCTCTCCCCCCGCCAACAGAAGCCAAACGGTAGAGACCGTGCTGTGCTGCCAGACAGTGTCTGTAAACAGAGCGCGGGGCCAGCGATGGCAGCATCTTTCTCTCATTAGGGGTTTTCGTAGGAGCAGTAGATCTGGGCTCGCAGCCACGCAGCCTGTCTAGCGATTGCTCAGGTGCTGGGCCCTGGTTCCCAAGGATTCATTAAAAGGACACTGTCAACATGGTCGGGCCTGACAGCGTCCCCCCAACTGGGGATGGTAAATCTCGGCCAGGTCTTAGGTGGAGACCAGTGATGTGTAAACATCATTTTGTTCCCAGCTACCTCCCTTGCCGGGCTTTTCTGCTGGAGTTCAAGCTGCTGGGGACATTCAACTGCTTTTAAGGCTGCCAAGGCAAGCTGGACAGCCCGTCCCAGTTGATTTCTGCACTGTAATACTGTTTAATGTCTCATCCCGTGGTCTTTGATATGGGGCATATCAGGGAAGTTTGCGGGGTAGAAATGCAGCCAGAGGGAACCTCTTAGCGCGATGAAGCAGGGAAGAAGTTGGCATTCGGGTCTTGGGCAGGACCTTGGTTTTGATGTGTCTGAGCCTGGGTGCAGGAGAGAGAATAGGCCAAATTGTTGCCTTCCTCTACTCCCTATCACCTACCGAGCATGGTGATTTCTTCATTCTCCACCCGTGCTTTTCCAGGGACTTTCCGCTTGTGACATCTCTGCATATGACTGAACTCAAGCCATGGGCAGGTTTCCTTAGCCTTTTGGTTTGTTCCAGCTTCGAGGACCAAAGCGCAGTGAAGACTCAGGGAGTTTTCAGAGTCAATGACTGGGAAGGTGAAAAAGAGAAAGCTCTCTCTGTGGGACACCGAAGTTTCCTGGGAAAGTGGAAGTGAGCTAAGGGAGTTTAGGAGGAAGATCTCGTCTGCTCGCAATGGGTTTGGTTTCTGCCCATTGGTAGTGTGGTTCCAGCACACTGAACTGCATACAGGGCATCCTGTGGGGCTCTGGAGATCTTCCTGCCAGAGGGGACATTAGGGATAATAAGCTACATCTGAACTTCGGCCCAAGGAGTTCATCCAACCTCCTGCTTATTCGACTTCATCCTGGGGTGAGACTCAGGCCTTTATGTCCTGAGTTCAGTGGAGAAGAAACCCGTACACACAAGCTGCCCCCTTGCACTGCCCATATTTCAGGGGCTGCAGTGTGCACTTGTCGATAATTTAGCGGCTGCCTATTAGCTCATCATCCTTCCTCTCTGCTTCAGAGCAGGGGAATCCTCTTGCTCAGCCTCCCAACGTCAGTTCCTCAACCTCCACTTTCATCAGTATTATTTACTATGGTTCTCTGCTGCTTCCCAAGATAGCAGCCTGGGCTGGGCTCATAATGCAGCTTTTTTTCTGAGATGGATATTTTAAAGCTTAAAAGAAACATTTTTAATCAGCATGTTGGGAAGAACTAAATAAATACAGGCACTTCCTAATCTCGTACAGATGGTCTTGCGGTTAAGATACTGGATGAAGGCGCAGGGATTCCAGGACGAGTTGCTGGCTCTGCTGTGGTCTCACAGTGTGTCTTCAGACAGTCGCATTAGCACCTGGGGCTTTTCCACATCTGCAAAATGGAGATGACATTCGCATGCTCTCTCCTTTTCTCTCTCTTCTATACAGTGACTGTAGGTTTTTTTGAGCCCAGACTGTTTTTCATCTAAGTTCTGTTTTCCCTCTCTGTTATTTCTGCGTTGCTGTTGATCTCCCTGCCTGTCAGCCTGCACAGATCTCTCACTTGTGTTAAATTGTCCATCCCTTCTGGCTTTGCTAACACAGTCAGAGCCTTAAGTTAGAACTGAGATGACATATTGCTCTGCATCAATAAGCAAACTTTTCCATGAGAAAGTGGACTATATCACTCCAGTGGTACAAGTCCTTCAGCATCTTCCCAGTTTTCCTGTGGATGCCTAGCTGGATGGACAGGTTCCCCCACATTTAAATAGGACTGAGTAGGAGCTGCTTACAGTGAAGATCTACACCACTCTCCTAGACCTAGAGCATGTGCAGAGCAGCAGGGACGCAGTAATCGGATGTCACCTTGCAATGTCATTGCTCAATCCTGGGCCGGGTGTGCCTGCAAAGTGATGGGAGGTTGGACTTGGTGACCTTTCCTTCTGATGGTCCTGCCTGCCTGGCCTAGGTGGGTGGTCAGAGTCACGCCGCAGTCATCCCTGCAGTGTGACCTTGCAGGGGGACTTACCTCATGCACTGAAGACCAGACAGCACCAGACTTGATCTGTGAGGGCACTGCTGGATGCTCTTGAACAAACTAGCATTGCTACTAATGATATTTCAGCAGTGCTCCAAACCTTATCCTTTTATTAAGAGTTTTGAGATGACTCTTTTTGCTTTCCCTAAATCCCCAGCTCCTGGAGCAGGCAATTACATGAGACTACAGTGAGAAGAAATGAGTGGCTGTCATCTTAACAGAAACTGTTTATAGCCCCCACAGCTGGGGGGAGACATCTCAGAGTAACCCCTGTGCTCAGAAACCAGAAAGCAAAGAGAAAGATTCCAAATATATATATATATATATATATATTTAACCATCTTGTTTCTTCTGTCAGTGTTATGGTTTTGGGGGCCTGACTCGTGATTTCACACACTCCACA